TTTTAATAAATTTTATTATGGCCAAAGCAAGAGTCACAATTTTTTTGGTATTAAGGTCCCCTTGCCTAATTCTGCTGACCACAAATTTTATGCTATTTATTCGTATATTTTATGCTATTTAATCGCATATTAATACTTAGTTATTTATGATTTCATTAAAATTATCTTGTTGTGTCCTTACTTAGTGGTTTTATTACTGCTATTTTATAATTGACACATGAATAAAGTTCATCATCGTGAATAACATCTCAAAAATTAGACAATCAAACTTTGATCTACATTTCGCTAAAACAGAAAATCGCTTATCAACCAGATCAGTCTTCAATAGACCGTGTTGCTCAAGATGCCCCCCGATTGCAGAGTATTTATGTTTCAATATACATTAAGGAACCGAACCCCAAGTTAAATACTCAGAAAGATTCTATTCGCACCAAACTCTTTACGTGACTTCGTGCGCGAATATGTGACTCTGCGTGTGAATACTTTGTTATTTATATATTTTCAATTTTGTTATCCGTATCTCTTAGGAATTCTTTTACATTTATATTCGTTCTCATTTTACCCGTTATTGACTTGATAATGACTGCAAGCGAACGTCGAAACGTCGTCGCATTTTTCTTAGACCAAGATGATTTTTAATTTTTTAAACATTTATATTTTATCGCAATTCTTTACAGTTAAATTGTATAACCTGAGAGGTTTTGAAATTTAGTTCATTTCAACTGGAGAAGCACAAACACTATGTCCAAGAAAGTAAAGATCTGCAGTTACCCTTCAGGCCACTTAACTGTGTTGGAAGCGAATAACCTCTATCGTAAAGTTAATTGGTCAGTGGAAGGTAATTCTAACCAACACTATTGATCATAAGGGTGCACGAACAAGCCAGTTGAACGAATAATCTAATCAAATCACGATAAATGGGCTAAGGTTGTTTATTTCACTTAAGTTTATTGACTTATAATTTATTGTGATGTAACTAAACAGATTAGTGCTACTATACCAACACGTCAGTTCCCCGAAGGGAACGCGTCCCTTCTGAGAATGAATTACGCTTGACAGAAAGCAATATATCACTTTTGCGATTTGCTCCAAATCACGGCTCTAAACCCTTAATCCATTTTCTTTTCTAAAGCGATTTGTGCTGAGAACGAGATAAAAGAAATTAGGGTCCTGAAATATGCGAACAAATAGATTTGAAATTATACCTGTGTGGTTTCCATATTAACTACATTTTCGAAGGTCAGTGATATAAATAATTTAAAACATTACAATAACTTCGCGTGGGTGATGGTTTTTCCTCTCGTACATTTCCAAATTAATTGACAAGGAACACATCTGTTAAATTCGGTTCTCTTGGATCAGACTCATATCAGACCCAAACTAACTTTGATAACAAAAACGACCTATGTGAAAGTGTAGTCTGATCGTCCGGGTGAGTGTAGTCCTGACCAAGTATTGGTCATAAAATTGTTTCATCTTTACATGCTCACTTTGGAGGTTGGTTGGCCGCATCTTGACAGCGTGATGCTGTTAGTGAGTTTCACAGGCGCTGACCAATACCTGGCTGTGTAGCCGCGCGATGCGGTTCGAGTCCAGGCCCACAAATTGACCCTTCCTCACCATGGAGTCTCCAGTAGCTCAGTGGTTGGAGCATCCGACTAGATCACGGATGGTCGTGGGTTCAAGTCCCATCTGGGGCTCGGATTTTTCTGTTTCACTAAAATTGTTTCATCTTTACATGCACAAATATGGTTGGGCTAATAATGATACGAACATTGACAACGACATTGACGTCGATAGTGACTTTGATAGTGATGGTGGCACTGACAGTGGCGCTGAGATTTTTATAAACATAGAGCACTATGCTTCGAATTTCACTGAGTCCAGCAATAGAGCTTTCTGAAACGATTTCGATTAGATAATTGTGTCCATGTAGACAACTGGAGGACAAGTCGCTCACGGCTTATGACATAGTATCAATAGCGATTGCTGGAAGCAGCATTTCGCCTGACTTACAATTTGAGTCCGGCGCTACTCGTAGAGTTTTGCTTCACTGTTATGGTACAGTGGTCGAACAATGTCATCAGTACATTTCAATCATCACCATAATTTACCAGCGTTGTTCTGACAAGTGTTTCCTTCGAAAGCTTTTTGATGACCAGCTGTTGATTTTTTTTTTTTTTTTAATCTCGGCTTTCTTCACTTCGGAAGTTCGATTTTAGTTCTGTTTTTATATATGTCATTATATTTATGAAGTATACATTGTTAATTTCTCTTAACGCAGTCAGCATACAGGTGCAAATTTGAAAAATGATAAAAAAAAAAAAAAAAAAAATTTTGATGAACAAAAGTAGGCATTGGATCAAGTCATAATGTTCTTTTAAAGTGGGCGCAATTGTTTCATTGTTTGTACTGATTCAAACCGTCAACTCGGGAAACGATGTCACCTCATCGCGCCACAGATTGAAAGCTTTTCCATTAGTGACTGCTACATTTGTTCCACAGCACAAAGTGTTCACTAAGTGTTCATCAAGTGTTCATTAAGCCATTCTCTTGTGGAAGTTTAGAATTAGGATTCCGCCCACCCCTGTGCTTTCTTTACGAAACCAAAACGCCACCAAAACTTACTGCTGTGGGCTCAGTCTAGTCATTACACTCTGACAGACGAAAACTTTGGAAAACTCTTTGAATTGAGCAAGTTTTACTTCCTCTTTGTGTACAATTCTTTGACAACGTGAAAGCATGGGCATGATAAGACTTCATACACTGACACCACTTCGTACACTGTGGGTATTGCAATCAGCTGATGAAATGATTTCTTTTTGTGCGCAATATGGTCGTAAACGACTTCATTAACGCTGTAAACGACTTCATTAACGCTGTAAACGACTTCATTAACGCTGTAAAAACATTGATTACGATCTGTCAACGATTGCAAAACTGCAATTAAATAAAATAAACACAGAAAACGCTAAAGCAACAGTACTTTATTACAAGTCAATCTAAGAGGCACGTTTTAAGTAATGCGGCCTTACAAGAGACCAGGAATGGAGTCCGTGACATTCTTTTTTGCTTTAGCTTCCGAGTAGGAGAGGCAGAAGTACTTAGGAAGCAAGGCCAAAATCAGCTCGAAAAATATCGTCGTTTAATTCAAAAGCAAAAGGAAAAAGAAAGAGCATTCCGGTCTTTTCAGAAAGTGGAATTTCTTTCGAGGAAAGAAGCTAAGTTACGAGGAAAGCGACCTGCATCTGCGCGCGCCCGTATGGGACACCGTCTTCCTGAAATAAAAAAAACCGACGCCAAAAAATTGGTTGATTGGACCAAGTAAGAAAATGGGACACTCCAAAAATCTCTCGATCGTCAAAAAATGCGTTTGGGAATGAAAATTACTTCGAAACCAACAACTACTGAAACGAGTTCGGAAGAAGGTAGAAAACCTTGTTTTAGCACCTTAACTGGGTCGGTAGAAAATTTAGAGAGCTCCGGAGCGAATGATCACAGAGAACGAAAAATGGATAATTTTGAAAAAGATGCGAAATTACTCTCAGTGGGATTCATTCTAAAATCCAAGAAAACATGTATAGATAATTCGCCAGAAGAAATTGAAAACAAAAAGTTTAGGAAAGGAGTGACTCAACAGAAATGCGAGAGGAGATTGGTGAAGAATATTTGCAGAGGTCATGTCTCCGATGTTTACAGTCGCGTTAAATGTGATGACCGAACTACTATCGGTCATTCCCAACTTCTGATTTACAAAGATTCCGAAAAGCCGAAGACACGGTCACACCGACCAATGCTAGCTGGGCCGTAGTTGCTCGGTTAATTGGACTGAAAATGAAATTCAAAAGACGTCAACTACATGGCACTTTCCAGGCACCCGAGTTAGAAGTATTGGATCCATCGTTAAATACGGACAGGAAGTCTGGCCGGGAGGAACCTTCTGATCCTTGGGCAGGGGTCAAAGATTGCAGATACCTAAGGCTTCTTAACTCTGATGCCAGTGCAGCTTTATATTGCTGCCACTGAAGTCAATTAGGCTGCATGATTGTAACCTCCAAAGGTTACTAGTATAGCGGAGTAGACAATTGGAACGCACAATGTAAATCACGGTTTATTTAAACGAGGACCATAATCAAAATACAAACGATATCGGTGTGGAATCAGATGAAAGTGGCGAAGTATAGCTTGAAGGTAGCGTAGTTAAGATTGATGGCTGAAGCTGAATTCAAGTGGTTGAATTGAGAGCGTGGCTCTGTGTGTGTGCTTGTGTGGTTCGAACTAAAAGAAAACACAGTAGAAGCTAAACTTTAGAAAGTATCTCTAAGAAATGTAACATTAGCCTAATTAACGATGAAGCGATTACAAAGTGAACTGAAAGCGAGAAATAAACCAAAATGCGAACCGAACAAAAGGAAATATCTTAACAGTAAAATAAAGGGAAACTTACTTTGGTCTAGCTCCAAATGGTTGTAGATAGCTCGCTAATAGCAGATGAAATTGGTCGTGTCGACAGCAAGTTAATGCGCTGACAAGCGATGAAGTATGAAACATAATATCTGGTGTACGTGCTTAATGAAACTGATTGAAATACCAAACTTATTAAGTGATAATCATTAACCAACGAAGAGATATTAGACCGGAACAAACAACAGAAATGTACACGAGTAACGCGTTTCGAAACTAACATGATAACCTAACTGCCTGGGATCTATTCCTCTCACAAAGAAACGAGGACCCTTGAAATATTTAACTCAAAGGTCGAAGGTGTAGGGTTCAATTTCTCTGAGGGGGGGGGGGGGGGGGGGGGCGTCAGATCTTTTCTTTGCCCTTCGCTCGTGACAATACAAACAACACGTTCTCTGACAATAATTTATTGCTTAATGAAGGAAGAACTTATGATACAAGGTAAAAAAAAACAAAACAAAACATACACATACACAGTGCTGAATTACCAGGGATCCAATGTGATTGAACTACATGTACAAGAGTAAAGAAGCAAGATTTCCATCAATATTTAGTAACATGCTTAAGTTACTGAGTGTTTACCTCACAAGTCAATCAATGTCACAGCACCTACTGTACTTGGAGGGTGATCCCAGTTGATAGCTTCCAAGTCAAGTGAACAAAAGGTTGTGTCCAATCATACAACTCTTAAGTTTGTGCTCAGCTATCTGGGCATGTTCTTTGTTTTAAATCAAACTAAACAAAGACAGTTTTATACTAAATTCTCTATAATTTCACTGAATTTTAACTGATGGTGCCGCACAGCCTTTGTTTGGTAAAGTCTTGTAATGACATCAAAGTAGGTAACTAGCCTGTCTACAGCTGTTCATATTTTCCAACCTAAGCAAGCAAAAGCAAAGCAAGTCTGCAAGAATGAGCTTGAAGAGAGAGAGAATAATAATTCAGCAGGAAAAAAAAAATATAAGAAACACTTTGAATGATAATCTAAGTTAAAAGAGGAGTTCTGTGAACAGATTAACAGCCAGCTTATACATTTTTATAACACAGTTTCTTTTGTACTTCAATGGAAGTGTTGCTACTGAAATTGAATCTTTAATCAATAGAAAAACTCATAGTATCCACGAGATCCATATTCTGTTGCAGGTTTCTGACGATCATTGTAAGCTCTGTGACCACGGTCATCTCTATAACGACCTCCATATCTGTAGTCAAGCAAAAAAAAAAAACACTTTCTTCAGTTTTGATGATCTCATTCGTGCATAAGGGCATCTCTGATAACATAATGCACTTCCATAAGTTGGTATTCAATTTTGCATTTGACAGCATGGCAAGCTTATTGCTCAGATCTCCAGGGTATAGTCGAAAAAAGGACATCATATGATTAGTTAATTTTTTTCATTATTTGCCTCCCCCTAACAAAGGTGGCACTGGTTAGGTAAAGTCTGTACTCAAGCCCAGTGGCTCATGTGGCCTGAGCTTGGTCTAAGTTCCACAGCATGAAAGGACTTGGAGTAGAATGGTATGCCAGTCCATCCCAAGGTTACCCCCCACCATTTGATCATGCTACCCTGAAAATTCACTAGTACACAATTATAACCCTGAGTGTAGAAAGGCACCGACAGGCGAAGTGTTTTTCCCAAGAACACAGGGCTTACATGTAGCCTTACCCTCCCCCCTGGGGAGAAGGGTAAGGGAATGTCTATGAAAACCTGACACAAATTGTGTTCTGAGACATCACTCTTTTGCAAGAAAATATAATTACTTTTTATTGGTTAACCGTTTCATCCCATACTTTCATGTATTTTGATTGGCTAAAATTTGTGGTTTTCTTTCATACCAATGAATAAGATTGTAAACAAAGTGCCTTTGTGGTTAACTTTACAGACAGCAGGGATCAACTACGAGGTTTAAAGGTAAGTTTCTATGACTTTCTGGATGGATATCCATAATTTTGCATAGATTAGAATGACATCACAGGACAAAATTTGAGTCAGGTTTTCATAGGTGCTCCTTCGTATACCGTTTCTCCTCAGGGAGGGGAGGGTACAGCTACATGTCGGCTAAAGAACACAAGGCAATGCAGGGCGTAAAATTGTGCCTAATACAGGCGCCAATGCAACTAAATTTTTCACTTTGGTGACCAAATCCTGAAAATTAGTCGCCAAATTGGCGACTAGAATTTCTAATCACATCTTACCTAGAGATCTTGGGATTGTTAAAGATTTGTAAAGATAAATCTGCAGCAAAGTTCCTCGTTAAGCTCGTTTCCAAAACACAGCACATGCATGATGTCGAACGTAAATCTACTGTCACTAAACGCCATCTTGGATTTAGGTAACCTATAACATTGTATATGATCCATTCTAGTGTCCTCTTTGTAGCTCGTGCGAATTTAGCGGGCTCATTTTTGATGTTTGTATGACTGTATCACTATGATATGATAATCTATCTAGTACAGTGACAGGGTAAAAAATTTTTTTTGTGTGTGTGTGTCATAATGGCCACCAACTTTTTGGAATTGGCTATCACTTTAAAATATTTAGGCGCCAAGTGGCTACCACAAAAAAAAGTTAATTTTACGCCCTACAATGACCTTGTCCAGTTTAGCACCAGGACACCTCAATCTGGAGTCCAGCACAAGAAGCATTCGGCCACTGCACACCTCCTTAGCAACGTAAGGCTGACTTTTTCAGGGCTTGGCACAATTCAGTTATGGCTAGTGGTTTTTGATTTCCACTAGCCAGTTTGGCTAGTAAACAAACTGAAATTCTTGTAACATCTAAGTTGTCGCTAGCCACTTGGCTAGTAAGTTGAAAAGTTAGTGTCTAGCCCTGCTCTTTATTGCTTCTGTACACCAATATCATTCACCAAATATCATGCAAATATGTTCTTTTGCAAAATATAGTATCTTTCCTTTTATATTCCTGCACTACTCCACATTACTTCACACAACATGAACCTGCAACAAATAAAGTTGTAAGTTTCTTATGGTATGACCTTACCTGTCACCATCTCTGTGATGATATGAATCATGTCTGTCTCCTACATGACGATCTCCATGCTCACCATGTCGTCTGCCATGGTCACGTCCACCATCATGTCTGGACCTTTCATAGCTTCTGCTGTCATTGCCACCACCATAGCTTTGAAAGCGGCTGTAGGAGATCAAATACACAGTCATTGATATAAATTATTAACGTTTACGATTGAAACCTTTTGAAAAAATTTGAGATGCTCTCAAAAAAGATGTTCCCACTTCAACCATGTATGTAAATCTTTAATGGAGCTTGTGATAAGTAAAGTAATCCCAAAGCTCAACCACAGACTCACAACAAGTTGCAGTTCTCATCTTAGCTAAGAGATGATAGTCATGCAATACAGACAACACATCTTGTATCTCAGAGAGGTCTTTGCCACATGGCCTGTTGTAATGTTTTTGAAAGAGATAAACGAAATTTTGGACCCCTAGAATGCAGTATTCAACGTTTCGAACAACACAGAAACTTGGGGTGAAGGAATTTTACCTCCCATAGGAGAGGGGGTTCGAATAAAAAGTAGTGTGTCCAATCATTTTACAATAATGAAACTGCAAACTTTCATTGTCTGTGTACTGGCTAAACAAAAGAAACTAAATGACCTTTGAAGTGCAAAATGCTATTTTTCCATTGAGCAGGCTATCAAGAAAGAATCGCCAGTTGGAAGAGTAGTTAAAATTTAATAAAATCTCCTTACCTTTCCCTGTATCCAGAGTTTAGCCAGTCGGTTAGACATGGAGGGGAAGCCTGAGTCTTGTTTACTGTCTTCATGAACTCCTCATCTTCAACCGTGAAACGCTTTGCAAACATTTTTTCATACTCTGCCAGGGTTTCTTCAGTTGTTGTCATATTAGATTAGTGTAAAGATCACTGATCAGGACTAGCAGCTAATGAGGAAAAAAATATAATCAATGTTCTACGCAAACACTTAGAACGCACTCTCAAGTGAGTTCCGAACCTCGTGTTCATAAGCGCGGTTACCAAGTTAACTTGGCCTGGCTGCCAATGGTTTAAACAGCAATCCGCCCAAAATAATCCTCCCGGAAAAATGCCCAGAAGGCTTTAGCTTTCAGGGTTCGATGTCCACTGCGATTGTTTTCTTCCTTCGCCCGTACTTAATGCGTGGCGAAAATCGCAACGAAAAAGGATAGATGGGTGGGACATGCTTCATCCGCTTCGTGTGATGGCAAAAAAGATGTAAATTCGAAATTTTCGGCGTGAATCAGTCTCGTGACTAAATGGATCACTCTGCTGTCTTCTTGGGCTAAAATCCAGTTCATGTTCTATATTTGGAACATCACACACAAGCAGGACAATCCTGGAGACTATTATCTGATTCTCGGAGAGATAATGAAGGCAACTTTGCGTAGAGTTGTATAGAAGGATAGAAAGAACCTTGGAAATAATCTTTAGAAGTCTTTGTGGGAGCGATCGGAAGCGAGATACAGGCCAGGACATGCTTGACGCATTCCGCGAAAAGTTATTTACCCTTTTCAATCATGGAAATCCTTAAAAATATTTAATTCCTGTCAAAGGAAACTACATGGGAAAAGGAATTAACGTGTGATAGGCAGAAAAAAATCAATCAACTACGTTTCATCCCCACAGACCTGTTTCGTGGTTGCCCACTCATCAGGGAAAAGGAATTATATATTCAAATGGAACTACAATCAAGGAGAGCTTTAATTCTCCCAGAAAGACGGGAGGAAAATGTTGCCATAGTCCACTTACATTATTTTTACTTTTTATTCCGGATGATTCCAGATAAAAACGAATTTTACGATAGATCGATCCACGATATTCCATCATTTTGAGGCAGATCGGTTGCTAGCGAGTTTTTTTGCCTGTGGTGAAATACAATGTCAAGGTAAGCGGTAAAGCTGCGGAACAAAAATTCAGATTTAGATGGGGGGGGTGGAATGCAACAGAGTAGTACAGTTTATTTGGTCAAGTAAGGGTAAGGTTTGCGACCCCAGAGAAATTTCACTATTGATATTGGCGTTATAACTTTAAGGGTGTCAAAATCTGGAGGCGGGGTCGGGGGTGTGTACCTCGTGGGTGACGTCACCCTAACAACCTTTGCGCGCGCACGTGTTCAGAAATATTGCGTTGGCCGAGTTTGGCGAAAAACGAAGACTGTTGATTGACCGCGGGAAAATTCCGTTGTTATGGACCCAAAGAAATGTTTGGAGCCACCTATAACAGTAGACGACGTGGTAAAAGGTCTTCATGTTCTTTTCAACGACGACTGTGTCAATGTAGAGCAGGTTATTTCCTTTTTGGAGTCGTATCAGTCAAACCCTGCGGATTGGGTTAAATACGCTACCTACGACCCACACAGGTCATTGCGAAGCCTTTAACGTTGTTTCGATTATTTATACTGTAATAGAAGTACCAGTCGATTTTCTTGTGCTGTTTGTAAATACTTTCGCTATGTCACAGGTACACTCGAAACTTGGTAGATGAAGGAAATGGCAAATTTAATGTGATCATATTGTGTTGGGGAGAAGGACAGGGAAGGTACGTCCTGCGGTTAATTTAGACACCTTAACATCTCATTGTATGAAACGCCTTTTTGTCAAGGTGGGGTATTTTCATAGCCTGATATTACTTCATTTGAACCATTAATGTTTTACCGCTTTTTTGTATGCTAGTTGTATCTGTGGCCTATAGTAAGTACTACGTTTGTAATCGACGAAATATATTTTGACGTAAACAAAAACCTCTTTACGTACTACGTCCAGACGTCATCATATCGCTCTGACCTTAATTTATCCCATAAATAACCTTTTGGTGCCACCTCGTTAATCGAATTAAATTACTAACTTGTTTGAAAAATTACAACGAAAGAGGGCAGTTGTTTACCAGTTTGTAATTATTTACGCATATTATGAAGTTCTTAAAAAAATGAACACGTGTCAGTTTGCCTTTCATGCTTTGTCAGTTGCATGTGTTAATTAGCAAAATGCATGCATGTACACTACACGTGAAAAGCATGCATATGAAGATGCTGAAGGTCAGTTTTGTTCTTCAGGACAAAAGAAAATTGTTGTGTTTGTCTGTATGTTCATTTGTTTGTACTTTTAATAAATTACCCCAGATGTGGATTATGATCTTTCACAAGGAATACTGAAGAACATCATTTCGGTTTTATTTTGAAAATCCTCTGAGAGTAAATAAATTGCCATAAAAGTCATGGAATATTCTCGTCATATTGCTATTCAGGCCTGAACAGTCAAGGAACTTAAATGTGAATTAACGAAGACATGGAAGTGATTCCAAGTGATTTTCACAGAAGCACAAATTGATTCGTAGCTTAACTGTGTTTTCTTTGAACTTTTCTTTAAGATAGTTTTTGATTGAAGGTTGTGGGAGATAATATTATTGCCAAGTATCATGAATGCAAACCTCTTAACCTGTGAAGCGAACATGTTAAACAATGAATATAGCCTACCTATGTCTCAGATTATGTCAGGCATGCAAAAGAAAGACCAATTCCAAATTGGTTTGAAATAGTTGAAGCCATATATAAAGACAGACAGAATTAATAGATAACAATTACTCAGAGCCATATAATCCTGTAATTTGTCAAGACTGAGTCACAAACACTACCAACTAGATACTTAAACTAGAGTAGACATTTCGCATTTTGCAGATGTTAAGTCAGCATTTATTGTTTGACAGGATATAATTCAAGTTGATGAAAATCTTTGCATTTTTTTCCACAATTTTGTCGAAGTACCATTTGTAGGTAAACACTTGCGTGATTTAAGGGAAAATATCAAACAAAACTTAAAATACCAATGAAATATTAAAAAGAAAGAAACACTCGACAAAATATTGCCTTCATTTGCCTCTCATGGTAGTATTGTCAGCAGGATAAAAGGTGGCACCTCCCAGTATTTGTGAGGAGACATTGGAAAAGTTCCAAAGGCTATCATGGTACTTCTTTCAAGAGAAATGATTACAGAGGGAATTGGATTTAATGAATCACTTCAAATTGGCATTTTTATTTTATTTCAGTTCTATCCATGATCATGCTGATGCCCACTGCTTCCTAAAAGTGTTAGATGGGAGATTGAAAGAAACTCAGTTTGCATGGCCATCAGAATCTGAGCCTGAAAAGCCTTTGGAACCAACAGGATCAAGATTTTACAAGACAAATGAAGTCAACTACATCAATGGTATGCCCTTGGGTAGAGTGAGATCAACTTACTTCTGTAGGCACCTTGAACCCTTGTACACCCTAACATCAGTATTCGTATTCTCTATAATTATGCTATGGTACTTACATGGAGAATTTGTCTAACGATCAAGAGCTTATTTAGTTGATGACCATTTCTGTTATTCTAGTGAGGTTAATGTTCGATTCAGGGGTGATATTGTAAGGAGAAATTAGGTGCCAGTTACTCTGAAGGATTAAGGGTTAAAGTTTTCAAGACAATGTCACTTCTTGCCCATTGACTCAAACTGCATGTAAAATTCATCAATTTATACTAAGCATAGACCACTTTCATAAATGGCTGCCGGATTAATATTCTTTTGTTTAAATTTAAATTAGCCTTTCTGGCCTGTTCTCCAGTACAAAATTCGAAAGAATGCATTATCTCAAGCGAGGCCAGAAAGGCTAATTTAAATTTAAACAAAAGAATATTAATCCGGCAGCCATTTTTGAAAGTGGTCAATAGAGGGGCATGGTATTGTACTTGATCTTGGTGCAGGACTTTTTCTCTGGCTTAGTTTCTTGGTAATTTGCAAGCTTATCACTGAGCACTTGTGATTCCTTTGCAATTGTGTTATCTCTATTTGAAGGGCTTATCACCCCCACTGAAATGTGTACTTCTGCTTGTTATTAATTGACAACTATTGGTTAGACCTGCTAACTTTACATTTGTTAAAAAAAGGGCTGTAATTAATTGTTATTCATGTTTACTTTCTGGAAAATTAGCTCTCTGAAGAATTTTTTTTACAGAGTAAATTTTGAAAACTTGCAAGCTATCTTGGTTTGTATTTTTAGTCCAACAATTAACATACATTGTTAATTTTTTAAACCAGTTATAAGTAATATAGGAAGTTTCTGTAAGAGTTGTTAACCGTCGGTTTTTGTTTTGTTTGTAGATAGCATAGGTCTTCATCGTGTGGAGAATGTTAGCCATTCTGACACTGCAGCATCACTTCATGTGTACATCCCAGCATTTGACATGTGCCAGTCCTTTGATCAGCGCACAGGGCATAAGCGTAAATGTCAAGTGACGTTCTGCAGCAAATATGGCCAGAGAACACCTTATGTAAGTATTCCATTTAGAATTATAACACAGCGAAAGTAAAGTGCGGGCTCTGATTGGTCAATTCAGCATCCACCATTTGCCTATGGGTGTACGCTGCTGATGTGAGCAAATGCAAAGACTAGTTTTCAGTGCACACTTGTTTTTTTCCGGTCACATAAGATTTGTTAAATAAGAGAAAGCTCTTTTGCTACATTGTATCAATGTTATGTTATAAAACAAATGGTAAATGCCACAGTGTACACTATTGAGGTATGGATGCACTTGGGAGGTTTGCTAAGCACTCAAGAAGCTAGAGTTGCTGTTGGCTAACACCTCACGTGACTTTTATGCTTCTTTCGTGCTTAGCAACTTCCCTCGTGCATCCATGACTCAATAGTGTACACTGTGGTGTTTACCATTTGTCAGTTTTGGGAAAGGGGGATTAGCACTGACCATTAACCCTTTACATCCTAGCATCAGTATGTATATTCTCCATACTGTTCTTCATACATATCCTAAGAAGCTGAAAGAGAGAATTTGTCTTACAATCAAGAGTTTCTTTAATTGGTGATCATTTCTTTTATTCTTGTGACCTTGATGTGTGATTCATATTTCTAAATGGATATTTTAGAGGGCACTTTTAGAACAAAAGATAAGAAATACAGTCTCAATGCAGTGTCAAAATGTTTTCTCTTGGTAACAAACATACTCCTTCCCAAAATTTAGAATGTCCTTGGTTATGTAGTCACTCATTGGAGAGATACTGTGATTTGCTTTTGGACTAATTGTTTGTTCGCTGGACTCTGGGTGCAGAAGTTTTGAGACCTGCCTGGGTCACTCTTGGACAAAACGCTTTACTTTCACAGCTCTACCTCTCTCCACCAAGGGGAATAAATGGGTGCCAGTGAATTGTCAGGGAAACCTGATGAAACGTGTGTGTGTGTCTGTGTGTGTGAGTGTGTGTGTGTGTGTGTGGGGGGGGGGGGGTAACCTTACAATGGAGTGGTATCCCATCCAGGGGGAGTAGTAAGACTTCTAGTAACTTCGTGGTAAGGAAACTGGGTTAAGCTCTGGCAGGCTGGGCCACTTGGCTCAAGTACAGATTTACCTTTTAGACTTGACAGACATTTTGAGATGTATGGGAGACAGTAGCTAATTTCTTGAAAAAAATTGTTTCAAACTGATCATTTTTATTTACCATTTTCTGCCAAACATTTTTTTGTTTCAGAAACCAAGCTCGTGTACCAAGTGATGCTGGATTCCAGTAAACAATTATACATAAGAGGAATGTTTTAACATGGAATAGTCTATTTTCATAGTTAAACTATGAATTATTGCTTTGCATATAATATTGGGTTTCTAAAGTGTAAAAACAAAAAGAATGCTACTGTATAGTAATCAAATCTAGCAAATGCGTTTTCAAGGAAGGTGGTATCTGCTGTACCAGCCGGGGGAAGGGAATTGGAGCATTAGAGATTGCAACAGTTTTTCTTTTTTTCACGTGGATAACAAAACGAATGTAAGGAATTCGTTGCTACAAAGACATTTTCAAAACACATGTACGTTCAAAATGTAAATGATTACCATGCTATTAACTTACGTGTTGTGCTCGTACATGTTTTGTAAAAGTTCAACTTTCCAAGATGAAAAGTATCGTGGTAAAATCGAATTGTCCAAGACTGTGAGCGATAAAGATGGCCTTGGTCTCAATTTCTGTCCTCTTCTCGGGTCCGGTCTTCTATCCAACACAGCAGTCAAACGCAGGGCGTGCACAGGGAACATTTTCGCCGGGCGCGCGGCAAATTTCCTAATTGTCTAACACAAGCCAATAAGTCGCAGTGTTTTAAAAAACGTATAACGTTTTTGATGAAGCCCCCCAAAAATGGTAAATCAACAAAACATGCGTCACGGAACAAGTCTGTATTCGAAAAGTTTTAAGTTTTCCTTTCACCTCTTTTGTTTCTTTTTACAGTTTACCATGATGGGTTCATATTCTACGGCATATCTATTTATGACAGCGACTGTATCTTAATGTTTTCCTTTAAAATTTTGCGCGGGAATTTGGCGCTCGGCCGGCCAAAAATGGCCCCCTTGCGCATGCCCGATGTTTGACCGCTGTATTCCCAATGTTCCCAACGTTTCTATGCTTATCTTTTATACAGCAGCTTACTTGAGTTGAACGTAAGTTAATACCGCTAAATGTAAGATATATGCATTAATTGATAACTCTTGTAAAGGGTTTTGGTGTGTATAATATTTAAAGTTCATGACTTTTGTGAGTCGTAGTTGACTTTATATTGTACGTTTTGACGAATGTGAGATTCCACACCAAAACTGGATTGAATAAAACTTGTGGATAATTAATCTACGGAATGCACATTTTTCATCCAGGTGTATCTGTTTATAAGTTAGCTTGCGAGCGGGATCTCATTATTAGCGCAACAGTTAACTCAAGTTAAAACAAACTTTTGATATATTTTCAAAACTTGGAGATCATATGATAAAATGCCTATTGACTCAGTTAAGTCGGGCTGGACGGGAAAATATTTGGCTCTGGTTCACGACGCTTGAACCTCACTGCGCTCGGTCCGTACGTCAAGACCTCGAGCCAAATATTTTCCCCCCTCCGGCCCCCTAACTCGGCAGTCAATAAGTACATCGCACGGGACTGAGAGATTATCCTTGCGCCAAGAGCATTCTTGCTCCAGCTTTAAATATTCCCAGACTACACACGTTCTGTAACTATTGTCAAATGTTTCGTCTGTTTGTACCCTCGTGTTTCATCCTGAATCAGTTTGTGTGCCGAGCTGATCAAGACATAACTTGAGCCGGAGCGATAAGAGCGTTCTTTGTGTAGGATTAACTAGCTGTAGTTAAGATCGTAGTAGGCTATTTGAAATTAATTGTATCGAAAGAATCGCTGACCCTGGATGAACAATATAAATCCAAACCAAGACTTTTCCGCCGTGAAAACGATCATCAAAAACAAACTAAGAGAGAAAAGAACATAAAACAAACAAAGAGACCCGAAAGTGTGCATCTACTGATGCTTATATTTTTTATTTATTTAAAATTACTTCATAAAACGTGATAGCATTTTGATTTTTTAGTTTCTTTTTTCTTCAAGAAGTCTGTGTAAGCGTTATGAGGGTTATTGGTAGATGTATCTCGCACTATTCAGAGCGTTAAGGTATTTCTACCTTGCCAAACATGTTTTTGTCATTGTCGTGAAGAAGAATACTACTGGGGGTCTTGCAAATGCACTTGAGATGGAGGTCGTCATAGAGGTCAAAATCCGTGGAAACCGAACCGATTAGTTTTAATAACGTTATTACAGGGTCTTTTAACGGTCGCGTCTTGACGTCATCCTGCAGTAGAGTAACCATATTTGGAATGCCAAGGCTGATTCTAGTCTCGAGGAAAAATACATAGAACTATTTTGATATGACTTTTGTTGCGATATCTAAGTGGATGAGTTAAAGAAAACTGACATTTGCAATTTTTGTCAGCGAGAGGGATTTGTCTAGTGCCATATATAATTTCACCTTATTGTAAAAGTTATTGATCTGTTTTAATCCGCTCACCAAACGATCATATACCTAAACTAATGGCATTGAACAAACATTGGAGTGGAAAATCGATGTTCCGTCCTTACAAAACAGCTATCTGTCTGCGATAGAGACTGTTAAACAGCGACTTAGTTCCTTTTTGTTTTGTTTTTTTGTTTTGTTTATTTGTTTTGAACTTTGCTCAATGGCGTGAATTTGTGATATTTTGTCGGAATTCAGAGGACAATTAGGCCAAAATATACTGAGCGACACAAAATTGTGGATTTTTTATTTTTCTTGGTCGACCTTGGGATAAGCTTGTGATTCGCATTTAAATGACAAAATTAGTTGAACAGCTTATTTCCAAACATCCTTGTAGCGAAAATTATCTATAATGTATATTTGACTCAGGCGAACAACCGACTTCACACTGAGTTGGTAAGTTAAAGTCGATGTCAAGTGACAAATAAAAATAAAACTCCAACTTCGCCCTTCTTGTAAATGATCTATGACTAAAAAGATATAAAATACACGTTAAATGTGATGTTATATCTTAGCTTTCAACCTCAAATAGAAATCAGAGAGATGAAAAGTTGGAGAAAACGTAAACAGTTCGGTATCTGCAAATTTTTCACTATACTTCTTCGTTCGAGGGACGAGGAATGTTTTCGCGCGTGTTTAATGAACCAATAACAATAGGTCTATTATCATATTCGGAAAAATTAAACCAATCACAACACGGCTTTCATGGGCAGAGAGAAGGGGACCAGAGATATCACGCTAATTTAGCAACTGATTGGTAAGAAGGCTTTTGGAGTCTTTTTGCCGTGTCGGATCAAGTTGTTTGCTTAGAGCGGTGTATGTGGGGTTAGAAGCCTTAAGCGACACCTGCAAATCCAAGCGGTAACACAGTCAGTTTTGAAACAATAGCGTTGTTGACGTTTCAGCGAACATGTCCTCCCGGAGTTCGTTCAAAGTGCCTCGCTCGTCCAAGTTTAAGCATGTATTCGGCAATCCTTACAAGAAGGATAAATGTTACGAAGCCATCAGGTTATCGACAAAATCGACGGATGGAGGTAGTCATTGTGCAGTAAATCCTAAATTCATTGCAGTCGTGGTTGAATCGAGTGGCGGGGGACAATTCCTTGTTCTACCGCTTGAACAGGTACGTTTTACTTTATTTGTTGTTATCAATCGATCGTTTTTTATTGCTTAAAAGACCATATGTTTGCGTGTCAAGTTTGCTCTTTAAATCATTACTTGGTTTTCTGTTTGCTGAGAATTTTCTAGCATACACGATTTCGTTTTATGCTTGACAAAACATTAGCAAAATTTCGCGATTCAGTAGAACGCTCAGATCCACAACCAACATAGCTGTGGAGCGCGTTACGAATTTGCTGTATGCAAAGCTGAATGTTTTCGTTTCACATGTCAAAATAAAGAAGGTGATGCCTCCTTTCTAGCCACATCGACTGGTGTGTATATTTTAACTTAAAATCTGCCAGATGTGGATACTTTTTTTTGAGTAATCATGCTTCAATTGATGTGTTGGCTGCAGTTTAAAAAGTATTGTGTTCCTAATGTCAATTCTGACGTAAAACTGTGAGAATGGAAAGTTTATCGGTTGTTCAAAGAAAGACAGAAGGTGTTTTCTCATATTATTTCTACAAAGTAGCACTTTGATTGCATCCACATCTTAAGGAAAAACTGTGCAGTTTAGCTACAGGAAGCTTTGTGAATCCAGCTTGCTCTTCGCATGATTAGAAGCCATTTGATTATATGTTTCCAAGTCTTTTATCCGTAACAACATGGTCTTCCGCTGCGACTGAGCAATTATTTTGTTCTTAATGCTAATTTGTGTTCTCGAATGTGTGAATGTGTATTTTTCGTAAGGTGTGACATTTCAGAGTTATCGGGGCATGAAATATATGATCAAGTTAACTCTCTATCGCTTTCTAGTAAGAGTCAATTCGAAACCTGTAAGTGACAATACCAGTAAGTCTCTTAAATAGTACTTTTCAGGGGCGACGTAATGTCAACTTTGGTTAACTTTACAAGCTCCTTTAATTTACGGACTTGTAATTGCGCAAGCACGATTAAACAATGAAAAGAGAGCTCCATTGTTGATCCATGAAAATTAAGTTGTTTCCAGTCTAGTTCCACAAGCTGATCGGCCAAATGTTTTTGGTTGATTGTAGAGATTGGCTCTGAAAACTTGCGTCAAGTTGATAGATCAGAAAGATAGCTTTTGTTATCACAATGTCAGGGGGTGATAATGAGATGTCTGGGAGTTTAGAGAAGCTAAACTAAGTCGGAGGCTTCTACTTCATTAGAACTAGGACAGATATGTAAATCAGTGAAACTTTTTAAAATGCGTTCTTTCATACTTGAGACAAGGAAATGAACTATTTAAGGGTTAAAGCCCTATAATTAAATACAAAAGCAAGTCTGAGCCTATTTTAGGTCATCAAAAATACTTTTTAAGATTGAAAGAGGAAAATAACTCCAGTGGTCATGCTTGTCAAAAGGTTTATGCTGTTTTAAGAAACTGAGCCATGGAAAACCGTTTTGAGTAGTATATTTGTAATAGTTATGCTTGTGGTGTTTTGATATTTGTGCGGTCATATTACAAACAGTTAATATTGATTCATGTTTGGTTAATGAATACATTACTTTTTGTACTTTTTGTTGAGTTCTACGGAGTAGGCAGCTACTTAAACTACTACATAACTACTTCTTCGTAGGCACCATGCAAAGCTGTCTATCTCTGGGGACTAAATTGGTTTTAGATCGCAAATGTCTTATTCTTTTTCCTTTGTTTATTGTTCTTTTTCAAACAGCGCTATACGTAGTAAAAATTTTGCCTCCATTTTTTTTGGAGTCATTTTGTAACATTACATAACATAGCATGTATTGAAACCGTATTGTTCATTGTAGTTTGTACAGTTTTGTCCAGTAAGTTCCACTGTATCTTGTCATATTGCTCCATGCAGCTTTTTCGCCACTAGGCAGGGACTCCAGTATCACAAATGTAAGTTTTGTATTATGTAGTTTTCATCATTGTTTTCACTGTAGTTTTCCAAAGTGTATTTAGCTCAATTTATATTGTGATAGGTTTTCGTTCACTATTTTCTTTACAGTTTTAACTGTGTCGTTTCACTTCATTTTGTTTTGTTTCCTTGATCTATGCCGGCTACTGTCATCAGTTATTGAAATTAAAATATTCTGAAACTCGTGTTAAAAATTATCTTGGAGTTCTCCCTATTGAAGAATCAGTTGCCCAGGGCAGTTGTAAACAGTCACTGTAGAAGTGATGAACTTGTACAACAACGAACAACAATAACAACAAATTTGTTTAAGCTTAATAAGAAAATTATAATGCTTGGGCCCGCAAGTAGCTAGGGCTATTCAAGGCATGCACAAGAGAGGAAAATAAAAGGAAAAAAAAAAGAAAAGAATTCTATAGAAAGTGAATATTTATAAGTAAAATTATAATTTTTAGATAAGAAATCCTAATATAAATCTAGTTTGCCCTGTGGCTTATAGACAGAATGAAACAGGAGGGCAGACTGTAGTACATACTGGAAGTACACACAGCTATAATTTTGAGAATTGTACTCTAATATCAGCAATTCTTATATAATCATCCTCTTTTTTCAGAATTTCAAAGAGTTTTTCCTTTATTGCACTTTTAAATTGATTTTTGTTAAGTGTTTTGATAGGAAGTGGAATCCTGTTCCAGATCAAGGTGCCAGAAATAGAGAAGGCTCTCAGTCTTCATATTTTCAGTTCTAACTTGTTCAACATAATAATTTTCATTGGTAACAGATCTAGTCTGGTAACTGTGGACAGAAATTCGTGGACATATTGTTAATGTTATCAGGAAGGAGATTATTGTGGACATCATACATTAAGAGGCTCATTTGCTCAAAGCACAAGAATGGTACTGGCAACTGTTTATTTTGTAAGAATAATGGAACTGCATGAGCTCTTGGATCAGCAAAGAACATTAGCCTAAGGGCTCTCTTCTAAAGAACTAGTAGTTTGTGAAGATGTACTTCAGCAGTGTGACCCCATGCAAGCCATAGCTGATATAGGGTAAGATTAAAGAGTGGTATAAAGTGAGAGGTACATGACGAGGAACAAAATGTCTGAGTTTGGCGATGATTCTGATTGTTTTACTGTTTTTCTGACAAATGTAATCTACATGAATTTTCCATGAAAGATTCAAATCAATGAGTACAACAAGATATCCAATGAAGTCTTTCATTTGTAACAATTGACTGGTGTTTGAATTGCTATTTACCATGTTAATATCAGGATAAAAAGGAGTAGTCTTTTGGCGTGAGCGAAAGATAATATAATTGGTATTTTCGATGTTCAAGGTTAATTTATCGACAGCTAGCCACGAGGAAACTTTGTTAAGTTCTTCGTTAATCTCAGATTCAAATTTTTTTAGATAGCCGTTTGCATAAATTAAACTAGTATCATCGGCGAACAAGTAAAACTGGAGTTTATTTGAAGACTTATATATGTCATTTATATACAAGAGAAAAAGCAAGGGTCCCAGTACAGAACCTTGGGGTACTCCACAGAGGGTTTGATGAGCATCAGATATATAACCATTGACGGTCGAGGGTCGTATACTGTTTACGACCAATTAAGTATGACTTAAACCAATTATTCACTATACCTCCAAAGCCATAATTTTCAAGTTTTGAGTGTAGAATTTCTTAATTTTTTAACGGTGTTGAAAGCCTTTTTCAAATCAATGAATAAACAAAAAGTGAATTAATTTGACCGTTATCAAAATTAGTAAAAATGTCATTTAGGATTTTTACAACAGCGTGTTGTGTACTATGCTTACTAGGGCAGGTTTGCTTTATTGTGAGTGTCAGCTTAGTACAGGGTTATCTACCCACCTCTAATAAACAAAATTTTCCACACTTAGCTTTTCTTTTTTTTTTTCAGGCAAAGATTAGATTAGATTTTGGTGCGCACAGAAAGCTGCGTAAGCGCCAGTTGCTCGACATACCTGCATGGCCCGTGCAACGAAATAGCTTCATGGGATTGAAAAAGTTTCAGTTACAGCAAATTATACAAAAA